GAGGGAATAAGAGTGACAAGATAAAGTGTGCTGAATTTATTGCCATCTCCATATGATTTTTCCATTACAGGAAGAAATATTTAATTTGGAGCCAGGCAAAGTGGAATCTGGGAAAGGAAAGTGCTCCTACGACCCTAAGCTCAACAGCGTGTCCGCTCTGATCAGTGAGTATCATCGGCATGTGGTCACTTAAGGATACAGGCATGGGAACTATTTTAAGTCCTCATATGGGTATTTGGGTTTTTCATTATATTATTTTTTCTCTCCCAGTTAGCTCCAGAAATGTTAGGTTTGTCGCTGTATTCGACTGTTCCTCCTGCATTTTAATTTTATCTGGAGGAAGAAGGGAACCAAGTTGACAAAAGAAAACATTTTTCAATATGGTTGAAAACAGAGAGTGATCCACCGCCTGCCTCGGTCTCTGACCGTCTGCTGGAGTGAAGGCCCTTCTGTCCAAAGTCACTCAGTCACATCCTGCAGCCGCAGTTGGCAGCAGTGAAAGTTGATCCCACTGCAGGGGTGAGGCTGTGGGTGAGGATGTGGGTGTAAATCACTGACACTGTTTCCAGTATGGAGTCAAGATTTAAGACTCAAAATTCAACATATACGACTCAACTGTCACCATTTAACACTTCAACGACCAGCAGTAGAGGTCGTAGTTCACCCTGTCACCACTCCAGCATAAACAACAACAACAAACGACGACAGGGTTAATGGGTTAAACTGTGAAACTGAATAAAAAAAACAAACAAAGAAATATTTCAATGACTAATCTGAAGTAGACAGTGTCTTATATCAACAGTCAGTGCTGTACTCTGAGACAGAAATGTCCCAAAACTGACCTTTTTGTCCATGTAAGACCCAGATCGGATTTTTGTTCTTAAAATAAATAAATCCCAGAATACATTTATATGTTCTCCTCCATCAGATACATGTCTGATGTTCCTCAGAGTTGCCTCAGTTTTGATGCTCATAACACAATAGGTCATTTCATCAGACCTTTACGTCAGTAAAGTGAAGTAGATGTCACAAGTCTGTCCCCTGGAGGAAAAGATATGAATGTATATTTGTAGATATTGAAGTGTGTATCAATAGTACCCGTATCTTTACAATTCTATTCCCCTGTTTAGTAACAGTCAGAAAATGTTTTATTTTGGTCCTGTTTAGTAACAGTCAGAAAATGTTTTTGGTCCATATTTCTTTCTCGGCTCTAACATGATGCAGCATCAATTACTGGAAATGTTGTTTTTATTTTATTACACTTTTTCCTACAAGAGTTTATGGAGCAACTGAGGGTCACAAGGTCACATGATCAGTTTGACTTTTGAAAATTTTTAAATGACCTTTCAGAGAACGTAGTGCAGGGTGACTTGACCTCTGACCTCCAGCAGCTTCTATTCTACATAGAGTTCCACAATTCCCACCCCACACCCCCCCCTCCCCCCCCCCCCCCCCCCCCCCCCCCCCTTACCCCCGCCCCTCCCACCACACACACACACCATCTGTGGACATTTTAAAGACTTGTTGTAAATCTCCATCAATCCTGTCAGGGGACCATGACATTGACTATAACGGTGAGAGAACAGTGTGCTTCTGTTTCCTCCTCCTCCTCTTCCTCCTTCTTCTTCTCCTCCGCTCTCCTCGCTCCATCCTTCAGTCTTCTGACAGTCACACCTGCTCTTCAATGAGGCCCTGGCGGCAGCTGGAGGACAAACACCTCACCTTCCTGTGTGTGTGTTTGTGTGTTTGTGTGTGTGAGTAAAAACTGTTCTGGACCTCAGAGCAGGGCAATGATTTTACAATGATGGATTCCACACCTGTCGTCTGGCTGCTAGTAATGATGGAAGTCATGAAGCAGATCAGGGACTCTCACTCATACATTTTTATATATTTTTGTTATATTTTATTTGAACTCATCTGCTGCTCTGTTCCCACATTAGACTCTACAGACTCAACATTTAAAGAAAATACATTTGGTTCCAACCGTGTCCTTGGAATCCCTTCAGCCTAAATAATTTCAGTGACCTGTTTTTCCTGTTCCTCCACAGACGGTGAACTCTACGCTGGGGTCTATGTTGACTTCATGGGAACAGACTCGGCCATTTTCCGTACTTTAGGGACGAAGACTGCGATGAGAACCGACCAGTACAACTCCAGATGGTTAAATGGTAAAGAGCAGGAAACGATACATTTGTCTTCCATATATTTAAACCGGCGACTCCTTCTCCTCTTGAATATCTCTCCTTCTTCTTCTCTCCCTGTAGATCCCACTTTCATCCACGTTCAACTCATCCCAGACAGTGCAGAGAGAAATGACGACAAGCTTTATTTCTTCTTTCGGGAGAAGTCCTCTGAGATGGGCCAGAGTCCCGTGACCCAGTCCCGCATAGGACGCATCTGTCTGGTGTGTACACAGCTCCTACTGTTTGCCTTTCAGATGTAAACATGATGAAATAAACCCTGCGTGGACCTGGACACAGTCTCCTGAGACCAGTCACCCACTGTGTTTGAATGTTTACGGCAACAGGACGAATATTTGGCCAACGCTGACGTGCTGGAATCCACATGTCTTTAACCTTCCTGTCTACAATGCATCCCTCTGTCTGTGAGGTTGACCTCTGAGCTCTGACCCCATGATCTGCTGACCTCTCCAATCTCGTAGTCCTCCAACCAAAAAGATGAAGTCCTTGGTTTTAAATTCTTCCTTTTGGTTCGGTGCAAAAAACATGACGCAACATAAAATAACAAAGCCATAAAAAAAAAAACAGATTACGACACGCGTCCCGGGGAGTTTGTGGGGCCCCTCGCTCTGAGCCTGCAGTTCACGTGTGTGTGTGTGAATGTTACTCTGGGTGTACGACTACGGGCATGAGTGAGAAAATGTGCTGCCTGTGTGCTCATGGCTTCAGCTGTTCGCTCTTGTATTTATTTGAGCGGGTCAGTCAGTGACCCGGCACACAAACAGTCATCTCACTCGCAGCAGGCCATGCCCCCGGCCTCCAGAGATAGGCTCCTGTCTCACACACACACACACACACACATCTGGATGTTCTTACTGCCAGGCTGTGCACCCAGGCCGGAACACTGGACCAAGGTGTTCTAACGTTGGTCAAATGCCCGGCTGTTCACGAATATTATAATATACAGTATATATATAAGAATGACAGTCATATTTGAGTCATCTTTCTGTGTCAGTCTGTACTGATGTCAGTGTTGAGGTCGCAGCCTGGTCTCAGCTGTTCCCTAATGCACTGGGTTCTGGCCTCAGTCCACTGCTGACAGACACAGACAGTGTTTTATATTGTTTCCAGGCCAGCACTCACTGTATGTGTGGGCGTGTGTGTGTGTGTGTCAAGTTGATGGACTTTATATAACTTTTTATTATACTTTATATGGTTTTTATATTTAAAAAAATAAAAAATAAATTGTATTTACCCTTCAGTGCCCCTGCTTGCGGCCTCTGAGTTGCCCCCTACTTTGGGAACCACTGCTTTAATATGAAAAAATTACAGTAGGTAATTTGTGTGCAGACAGACACGGGGAACCACTGCTTTAATATGAAAAAATGACAGTAGGTCCAGACTCAGAGTGTGCAGACAGACACATGGTGTTCACCATATCATAGCGTTTATTTTGCCCTAAACAGGATCACAACGTTGAAAATTGAATTTGATAAGGGGAAAAAAAAGCTGCTTCTTTTTAATACCAACATGAAGACAGAGGAGGACATGGAGGTGTGTGGTGTCAGGCTGTGCTTTTACTATTTATTATTTATTATTATTTCTTACTATTTATTAGTATGTATGTATTTGTGTATTTTGTATGTTTACTGTAGCTTGATTGTTGATTGACTGACTCAAATTGTAAGTCACTTTGGATAAAAGCGTCTGCTAAATGTATTGTGATGTAATGATGACGATGATGATGGAGAACCTTCTGTGTGTCTGCTCCAATCTCAGAATGACGACGGAGGTCACTGCTGTCTGGTCAACAAGTGGAGCACGTTCCTGAAGGCCAGACTCATCTGCTCTGTCCCTGGAGCCGACGGCATGGAGACGCACTTCGATGAGCTCCGTGAGTCCACCGCCCGACTGCCAATCATTCTGTTCTGGTTAATGTGAAGAGGATTTTTTTTCCTGCAGTGAGTCTACAGTTTGAATAACAGAGAGTATTATTATAAATGAACACACAGAAATTAAAGTAGCATCGTTGGTGTCTGACAGAATCATTCCTGTGAACGTCATCTTCAGAATTACGATCAATATTAGTGAACTTAAGCCTAACCTCACCAAGCATTTCATAAAATGCCTAAAACATATCTGATCTTCATCAACGTGAACGTTTTGACAGTAAAATGAAACATTCCTCTTCTTCATCACATGTTTCTATATATGAATGTCGTAGGATAATAGAATTTATTTCCTGCAGGATGTCTTAGGCCTAAGGAGGATGGTTTTTGACCTGTGAGTGTGTGAGTGTGTGTGAGTGTGTGTGTGTGTAACCACTGCCAGTCTCCCTGGTTTAAAATAGCATCACAGATAAGAGCCGATGTTCCAGCCTCCACCTCTGCCTCCAGACTAATCTCAGGACCGAGAAGTGAATTCCCTGATAGTGGAGGGCTTTCTTTGTCTCCTTATTTTTTCTGACACACTCAGTGCTTTTAACTCTATCATCCTGCTGATGGAAATGTAACAAATTACTCACACGCAGAGAAAACAATTGCACTGCACTCTTTTTTATCTGTGCACTCACCTTGTACCTGAATAGAGAGAAGGTGTCTCAGTAAAAGACGGACAAGAGAGATTATTCTCACTCTGGTGTTGGTCCGGGTGTCACAGTCAGCAGCAGCAGCAGCAGCAGCAGCATATCTCTACACAGGGTCAATCTTTCAGAAAAGGAAATACTGACTGTAGGGACACGTAGTCCTCGTGTGGACATTTCGAGGGTCCTCAATGAGTGAAAGAGTATTTTGAGGCTAGAGATTTAGTTTGGAGTTAGGATTAGCTTTAGAGTCAGATTTGAGTTATGGTAAAGATTGAGATTGGACATAACTGGAAGTCAGAGTGGTGATTGCCATAGACCATTGGCGGTCTCTTATGGTCCCTCTGTTGGAGGGGCCTCAAAATATTGGGGTTATTGGGGTGCTGTGATATATACAACTTTTCTTATGAGTTCATGTTTTCAGATTCTGTCAGATTATTCTTCACATTTTTCAACTCCTTTCTTCAACATTGCTTCACAAGTTCATTTGAAAAATGCCCCGTTTTCCTGGAAGTGTCCTTTGGTTCTCACTGAACACACCTCCTGTAATTTAGGTCAAGTACTGAGTAGAAGAAAGACTAATCACCGACCTGTCTTTATAGTCTCTCTGTTTGTTTTTCTCTGGAGCTTTCCCTCAGTCACAGTCAAAGAGTTGTTTCTGATGTCACAGCCGTACAGGGCGGAGGATATCAGCAGATTTATAGACTTCTACAAATCACTGAGGATCAGTTCTCTCTGGAGGGAAAACATATTTCCTCTCCTTTAAGAGGTAGACATAAACTATTATCCAAAGAAGAGGAGGAGGATCCTCACAAATCACTTTAAAACGTGGCTGAATGTTGGGCTGAAAAAGCAGCATCTCTAGTTGGGCCGCTGCCTTTTCACTTCAGTCTTTTTATGACCTGATGCTGATTATGACCAGACTCTTTAAATTCTCATTACTGCCATTTAACGTCTGTCTGCTGTGTGGATTTACCACTGAGCTGCTGAGGTTTAACTTTCACTGTGTAAAGCAGCCCTGCCCCCCCGGCCCCTGGCCCCCGGCCCCCTCATCCATCCTGAGATCCTCATCATTCCCTTCAGTTTCTGTGGTTTTACTCCCACCGTTTCCGTCAGTACGTGAATGAGAGAAGGTGAAGAACTTTTTGTTTTTCTAAGAAAATTTGGTTTAGTACTTAGTTATTTAGTTTCAACCTGAAAATTAATTTCCACAGATTGAAATCTCAGCATATGTCTTATCTCGATTTTTACCCCAACTCCAATCAAAATATAGATAAACCAGCATCACTTAAACAAGAGCCTGTGAATCCAGGATTACCAACATGGTAGTATTTTGAGATGAACATTTATCTTAAAAAACGTTTTTATAAACCTTTTAAGGACAATAAAAAAAGTCCAGTCTGAACTCTGTCACTACAGTCAAACATCTGTCACCAATGGACCATCTCCAGTGTCCTTTGGAGCCCCACCCTGTGATATGGCTTTGTCCCATTCTTCTAACCATGAAGCCACAGTCCCTGGCGGTAATCCCTGACCTTGGTTCTTGTGCCAGAACCCTGGATTTTCACAGGAACATCAGGATATAACCCAGTATCCCACTTATCTCTCCGTCTAAGTCCAGTAATGGACTCCATGTGTTCTCACCGTAATAAAGGTTAAGCCTACGTCTTGGTGTTCCAGTCATGTGGCTGAGTCAATATTAGTGGAGACTTTTGTGTTGGGGCTGAATTTCGTTCACCTGCTCTTTGACACTGATGTGATGTCTCTCTGTGTCCTCCGACAGGCGATGTTTACATTCAGCCAACACAGGACACAAAAAACCCGGTGATATACGGAGTCTTCTCCGTGTCAGGGTGAGTCTCACTGTAACTGTGTGGACTGAGGACGTGTCCTGGGTTTGTGTGTACTTATGAATACGTGTGTGTGTGACGAGGCTCAGTTTGTAGTCTAACTGTTTCCATCACTTCTCAGCTCTGTCTTCAAAGGCTCAGCAGTGTGTGTCTACTCCATGGCTGACATACGTATGGTCTTCAACGGACCCTTCGCCCACAAGGAGGGTCCCAACTATCAATGGGTGGCCTACACTGGGAAGATCCCCTACCCTCGGCCTGGCACGGTGAGTCTCGGCTCAGGCTGAGTCCACACATGAAATCCCACAGGATATGGGATTTCTTTCTGTTTTAGGCTCTAAATACAAACCAAATGGAGGAGATCAAGGCAGCGCGCAAATCATAGAGTCAGAATCAGAAATGACTTCAAGAATCAACAAAACATTGTCATTGTGTAAACATCCTTGTCTCCTTGTCCAAGTGTCCTGGAGGGACCTTCACCCCCAACATGAAGTCCACCAAGGACTACCCAGATGAGGTGATTAACTTCATGAGAAACCACCCAGCCATGTACAATGCTGTGTATCCAGTCCACAAGCGCCCCCTGGTGGTCAGGACCAACGTGGACTATGAATTCACCACCATCACTGTGGACCAGGTGACTGCTGCGGATGGGAACTACGAAGTTCTCTTCCTGGGAACTGGTGAGTGACGTCTATGAAAGTGATGAATTCAACCTTAGTTACAGTTGGAGGAAGTACAAACTCTTCATTTATCTGTAACAAAGAGCTACAATCTCCTCTTCCCTGAACCAGTGTGACTTTCACCAATGAAAAGCTCTCTTGTGTCGATCATGTCAATCCAGCCTCCTGTTATTTGCACCTGGAGGTCAGGGCTGGATCAGCAGCAGAGAGAGAACAACAGGGAGGTGGCCTGTAGATCCATCACCTTAATTTTGTCCGTTGCTGTGAGAGAGATTATGTTTGCATGTCGTTGAGCTAAGAACCCAGCGTGACAGTTACATCCAGGGAACAGCGCATGCGAGGCCTCTTAACATCCTCTTTGTTCCTCTGTGTATTAAGGGAAGGTCTTCGTGAGTGTGTATGCGTGTGTGTGTCAGAAACAACATTCCGCTGTGTGCAGGCTGAATGCTGAAGTCACAATAAATCTCCAGTGTCCTGTTTTGGGAACATGCCAGTCTTCAGAGCAGGACAACGTCTTTTATCATCCTAATGAATAGGTGCCAGGCCATAATTAACCTGTCCGTGACAGGACGCGTTTGTTTCATTGAAAAGGTTGAAGCACAGGCGGAGGTGAAGAGAAGAGCAGACGCTGTTGAGCTGAGGATTATCCCACTGTTAGAGGCTGCTGAGAGAATGACATGACAAATCCTCAGGGCTGCTGACAGATGTGCAGGTGAGAGGTTACAGGTGTGGATTTGACTCGTGTGTGTGTGTGTGTTGTGGTCCACAGACAGAGGTACGGTTCAGAAGGTCATCGTTTTACCCAGAGATGACCTGCAGACCGAAGAGCTGGTGCTGGAGGAAGTCGAGGTTTTCAAGGTGAGGTTTGTCTTTCCTCTCACTTGGTTCTTGGTTTGTCTTATCTAATACATGTTTAATCTTCTCCATCATCTTCTCCAAAGGTCCCAACTCCTGTGACAACAATGAAGATCTCGTCCAAAAGGGTAAGCATGTGTGTGTCCTCAAGAGAAAAGACATGATATTTAATGAGGGAAAATAGTTGTGAAAGGTCGGCAGCTTCTGTCCCACAGCTGTTCTCCTCCGCTCTGACATCATCGTTCTCACACTGATTGTATGATAATGGGACAATGGAGACAGATGCATGGAGACGTTCAGGGTTTTCTTTCAGTGTGATTGAAATACTTGGCCTTTCCTCCTGTGAATGACATCAGTCCACAGACAGAGTGTTGGTCTGATCATAAAGTCCTGGTGGTAACCTGATAGAGATGAGCTCAGTCAGTTTCACAGCGTGCTGCAGCTTCAACACAGACGAGAGACAGATCCTCATCAGTGTCTGATGATAAAACTGACTGCTGTATTCACTTACCGCCAACAGCAACAGCTCTACGTTTCGTCAGCGGTCGGCCTGACGCAGCTGGCTCTGCACCGCTGCGATGCGTACGGCGAGGCCTGCGCCGACTGCTGCTTGGCCAGAGATCCTTACTGTGCCTGGGACGGAAAGTCCTGCTCCCGTTACTCATCATCGCAGAAGAGGTGAGCTTAGCATTAGCGTCAGCATGACCTTCACTAACCACCACTAACTAGTTGATGCTCGTCTGACTGCCTGAATGCTGAGTGGCTCTTCGCATGGGATTTTTTGGTGTTTTTTAAAAACTTGATGACTTGACTTTTAGAAATGAAAACATGAGAATACATAAACACAGCTGAATGTTTTGAAATGATTTGTCTGCCTTGTGTTGTTGCAATGTTGTTGAATGGTTTTGCGGTTACTTTATGATCTTTTCTCTCCTTATTCGGCTACACTGGTCCGACCCCTTTAGACGAAGCCGGAGGCAGGACGTCAGGTACGGGAATCCCATCCGCCAGTGTCGAGGCTTCAACTCCAACAGTAAGACTCACCATCTCTAAGTGTTTGTTGTTTATGAGTTCATTAGTCACTCCACACTTCCTGTTTATATGATGCACATCCACAGATGAACTGTAACTTTTTGCCACTGCCTTTTTAAAACAGAACTTAAATGAGATTTCGCCACAACTGAGAATTTCTTGGTTTTGGTTACCATGGAAACCCCTCTTTCTCTATTCCATCTCTGCCCTGCAGCCAATAAGAACACTCTGGAGATGGTGCAGTATGGGGTGGAGGGGAGCAGCACCTTCCTGGAGTGTCAGGCTCGTTCTCCTCACGCTGTCATCAAGTGGCATCTGCAGAGAGACAACAGTGACCGGAGGAAGGAGGTGAGGCACCACACACAGGTTCTCTGTTCACGGCCTGTCCTTCAAATGTTTGTTCAAATGCAAAGTCAAGCCTTAACTTCAACAAGTACGATCGATTAGCATCCTATTGTTTGATGAGATAAAGAATCAACAATATATTTATCCATATATCGTCACGTCATCTGGTCCGGTTTGTTTGGTCAGATTAAAAATATACTGTGGTTCCGTAGTGTAGCAGTTAGCATGCCTGCCTCAGCAGGCAGTTTTGGGTTTGATTCCCAGAGGAACCACATGCTTGATATTGTTAATCCTCCTCTGGGAGTCGCTTTGGATAAATGTGTAAATGTATATTTTATTCAACATTTTTAACCTGTAGTAAAATGTTTCTTTTTTTTTTTTTTT